TAGCAAACTAATTTAGCGTTTGAACAATATCACCACCACAACTTTGGACAGAAATTGAGAGAATGAAAAATTATGCAGTATGCAGACTATATTTGTGTGTGCAGACACAGTTTTTTTCTACTGTATTTTCGAGTATATTGGAATTGTCGGAAATTTATGAGATTTAATATATAAAATAAATCTGCCATCTGTCGTTAACTTTGGTAATAAATATTGGAGCCACTTTAGTTTCTGCTGGAGTTTTGAAAGTTTTCGAAAACTCAAAGATCAGTTGAGGAAAGCAAAGAAATTGGAAAACGTGGATACTCCAAATGGGCCAATTTTTGCTCCGTTCGATCTGACATTCGTGTAAGCAGGTCACGCTCTCACACAAGTTCAAAGTCCGAAGGCAATTTTCGTCCGTGATTTACATCCACTGCGCACGCACGTGGAGAGAGCATCTATATTAAATATGATTACACCATTCCAATGTGCAACCATATTTAAAGTGATTCTTGCTTTCATATTTTTCCAATGTGAGATTAATACAATTTTTTCACTTAAACCATCTTTCAATGATCATTTTTGAGCTTCAATTTCTTATTCACCCGAGCTTCATTTTTGACAAGTAAATATATATTTTAATATTCTCACGAAGAAGAACACGGATCAACTTTGATCTTCCAAATTGGACCAACGGGTCCCACCGAAAATATTGCCAAAAGTGAGTCATTTACTTATTTTTTTCCAACAATCCCCCACATGAATGAAAATTGGGAGAGACACGAGACCGTGAGACACAAGACGTAATAATAAAGTTCAACATGATAGGTAGGTATTACCCTTTGAACCTTCTCTTGTGAAAGCAAATTTACTTTATTAGCTGACCAGTAGACTTGTTGCCCTTGAACTGTTCTACCATTTATGTAAATGATGATATATTCTACACAAGATTCTTCCTAACACAATTCAGTTCTCATTATTAGGTTCGTTTTGGCCATGAACATATGCTTGGTTTTGTAAGAATTCTTAAGAATTGAGCTCCACACAATTCTCTTAGAAGCCCCACTTCTCTTTCGCATAGGTGATTTCTTATTTTAAGTAACCCACATTACTTGGCTCGAACTTTGACGCATAAGAATAATTAAAAGTCTATTGCTTATCCTTCGTCGTTACGGACATCACTGTTACATCATAGGAATGGATATGAGGAAATACCCCCACAGTGATTTTTTTAAGCCTTTACAATTAGATTGTCCCTTTGAATCTAGGTCTTGGGATTTTCAGTCAACTAGGTTGGGTTTCCTTTGTAATGACTTATTCATTCAAGGGCTTAAGTCATATTCTTTTTGATGATTTTCCAACTAACTCTCTATTTAACCCTTTGGTTAGCGGATCCGTAATTTTATCTTTTAACCTTACATAAGCAATAGTGATCACTCCAGTTGAGAGTAGTTGTCTTATGGTATTGTGTCTACGACGTATATGTTTAGACTTACAATTGTACATGTTACTCTATGCCCTTTCTATTGCTGATTGATTGTCACAATATATTCAAATCACTGGTACAAGTTTTGACCATTTTGGAATATCCTCTAAGAAGTTGCGCAACCATTCGGCCTCTTCACCACATTTATCTAGAGCTATAAACTTAGATTCCATCGTAGATCTGGCTATAACTATTTGCTTAGAGGATTTCCACGATATGACAGCACCTCCCAATGTGAACACAAATCCACTGGTGAATTTTGAGTCTTTTATATCAGATATCCAATTAGCATCACTTTATCCTTTAATGACCGCTGGATATCTGGTATAATGTAGTCTATAATTACGAGTACATTTTAAGTACCTTAGTACTCTTACTATTCCTTTCCAGGGATCAGATTCTAGATTACTCGTGTAACTACTCAGTTTACTGACTGTGTAGGCTATATCTGGTCTTGTACAACTCATCAAGTACATTAGACTTCCAATAACTCTTGAGTATTATACTTGAGAGACACTTTCACATTTGTTTTTAGATAGATGTTGACTTGTATCTATCGGTATTCTAGCCAAATCAGTATCATCCTTATTGAACTTTTCCAAAACTTTGTTCACATATGACTTAGAACCAGCCCATCCGATGTTCTTGAAATTTTGACTTCAAATATAACATCAACTAAACCCACATCTTTCATGTCAAATCTCGAATTCAACATATTTTTAGTGGATTCAATCATATTATTGTCACTACCAACAATAAGCATGTCGTCGACGTAAAAATATAAAATGACAAAACCATCTTTAGTGTCTTTCACATAAACACATTTGTCACACTCATTGATTTTAAATCCACTCTCTATCATGACATTATCAAATTTTTCATGTCATTGTTTGGGTACTTGTTTCAAGCCATATAGTGATTTCACCAATTTAGAAACTTTCTTTTTCTACCCTGATGACGAAAACCCCTCAAGTTGTTCCATATAGATTTCTTCTTCTAGATCTCTATTTAAAAAGGCAATTTTAACATCCATTTGATATACTTCAAGATTTTGCAAAGCGACAATCGCAAGTATCAATATAATCGATATTATTCTCGTCACTGGAGAATACGTATCAAAATAATCAAGGTCTTCCCTTTGTTTGTAACCTTTTATTACTAATCTGGCCTTGTGTTTTCGATAGTTCCATCTGCTCTCATTTTCCTTTTGAAAATCTATTTATAGTCTAGTAGTTTGCTTCTTGGAGGAAGATCCACTAGCTCCCGTATATGATTTTGCAGTATAGAATCTATTTCACTTTTAATAGTCTCCTTCCATTGAGGTCCTTCTGAGAAATTCACAGCCTCTTAATAACTTTGAGGTTTACTTTCTAACATATAAGTTAGAAAATCAGGACCACAAGATTTTTCTGTCCTTACCCGTTTGCTACGTCTAACCTCGGTCTCCTCTTTTAGTTCGTCGTCATGACTATGTTCAGTCATAGTTTCATATGTTCATTTGGAGGAGCTCGCTTCCTCTTTGGACTTTTACGGAAATACATGTTCAAAGCATGAAGCATTTTTTGATTCCAATATTGTGTTTTAATGTATGCCTGTGATTTTAGAATCATACACAAGAAACCAATAAGTACTACTATTGTGTGCATAGCCAATGAAGATGCAATCTACTATTTTTTGCCCTATCCTTACCTTCTTTGGTGTTGGAACAGCCACTTTAGCAAGACACCCCCACACTCGTAAGTATTTATAGGAAGATTTTCTTCCTTTCCATAGCTCATAAAGAGTCTTTTTCATTTTCTTTTAGGGTACTTTATTTAAAAGGTAGTTTGCTGATAACACAGCTTTCCCCACATGTTCTGAGGTAATCCAGAAATTACTAACATTGTATTCATCATTTCCTTTAAAGTACGATTTTTCCGTTCAACAACACCGTTTTGTTGTGGTGAATAAGGTGCGGTGGTTTCATGTATGATTCCGTATTGTGCACAGAATTTCGCAAATGGTGCTTTATACTCACCACATTGATCGCTTCTTAACACCTTAATTTTCTTATTTAGTTGAGTTTCAACTTCATTTTTATAGAGAACAAATTTCTCTATAACTTCATTTTTACTTTTTAGCAAATACACATAATAGTATTTGGTGCTATCGTTGACCAAAGTAATGAAATACTTGTTATCACCTCTCGTTTGTACAAATTTTAAGTCACATATGTCACTGTGAATTAAATCAAGTGATTCTGTATTCCGTTCAATTGATTTAAACGATGACCTTGTCAATTTTGTCTTAAAACAAGTTTCACACTTATATTTTGAATCGATGTGGAACTCGGGTATGCAATTCAGATTAACTAGTCTTCGTAAAGTATCATAGTTAACATGTCCTAGTCTACTGCCACGCGTTTTATATAACGTGATTTTATACCGCAAGCGCACGGTGTCAAGTTTTGTAGTATATTAAAGAATTGAAAAGTGTCGACCCCACAGGGATTGATATTCGAGTTCCACTGAGTACTATAATTGTGTCCGCGTTTACTTTATCTAGACAATCAAGTGTTGAATTAATATTTGATTTCTAAATTAACGTCAATGAATTAAATAGTGCAATAAAAGTGAGGCAATTTCTAAAGATTAAATCAAATTTACGTAATGTCTAGGGAATGATTTCACCATATTCTCGACATAATTCTCAATCCCTATAGATATTTCTATCAAATATTTCCCAAATTCATAGGCAAGAATCCTAAATTAATTCTATTTCCCCCTCTCGAGCGTCAAATAGAACATATCTCTATATTTTAACCCCAATATCTCTATTCCGAATTAAATATATAAAGATTATCACGTACTTGGTTCTTGTTTTACCCTCAAAGATTCGTACTTTCTCTCGAAATCTACAAACCTAGGTTATATTGTTCTTAGATCACGCCTAAATTTCCCTCTCTCGAGCGTCAAATTTAGAACATCAATTCATTCAATTGGTGATCAGGCAAAAGAAAGCTTTAAGCAAGAACAATACAAATTCAATTCTGGAAAACTAAATGGAAATACTATAAAGAAATTGAATCATGTCTCAAATAGGTTACATCAAACCCTAGATTTAATAACTTAGTTCATGATTGA